GGTCTGCCCAGCCCGGGGAGCTAGGAGCTGAACCGGGCCGCCTGCCTCCGCCTCTGAGGGCTCTTTGTCTCCTCTGCTGGGCAGGGACACAGCCGTGCTTCCCGTGGGACACCCATCGCAGCCGGGCGCAGCGTCCTTCCCCGCTCCTGTGGTGACCTCTCTGCGGATGACACAGAGTTGGAGAGAACTGGAAGAGCTCCATTCTGCCGCAGCAGATTCCTAAAGGGGCGCAGCGAAAACGTACAGGGAAACCAGTGGTGCCAGGCGTCGGGAAGCCCTGTGCGGGCGGGGAGCAGGCAGGTAGCAAAGAGCGCTCCGAGTAGCGCTTCCCATGCGCGGTTGAGCTCAGCTCTGAGGAAGGTGGCACAACTTGAAAGCAAGATCATGAATCGAAAAAAGCAGATGGAATCGCATAACGCTGACTTGGGCCAGAAGCCTTTGGATGAAGAGTCCTTCTCGTCTGCTTCCAGTCACGAACACAGTGCGAGGGGCAAGAAATACCTGAAGAATTATGCTGCTGCCAGTGGAAGTATGACCCTGGGTAATGCTTGTTCTGAGGAGGGGAAAAGCATCCCAAGCCCTAAAAACAACGTTATGGTTAAGCAGCAGCTTAGTTTGGATAGTGATGAAGAGGAGATGAGAGAACTGTTGGAGAGCTCTTTGGAGTTTGACAGTGGAAATGAGAATCAGAGAGTTGTTGCAAGTGATTCTAAATGGGGTGGAAAGGTAAATACAGACTTTGCTGGATTATGTATTTTTATTTACACTTTTATGAAATTGTTTTAACTGGTAGTCACTTTTTATTTAGATAACATCAGAAATTATATTTTAATTTTGCATTTGTGGCTTTCTCAAGATATGATTTAGCTTCAATTCACATTTCAAAATTACTCTTTTTTTACCCATTATAATTTTTTTTCCGTTTTAGTGATCTACACATAGCAAATGAAGTAACACATAAATCTCTTTTTCATGTTGTTCAAAAGAGTGAGACTCCAGTTTCGTCAGGAAT